TAACACTGAAAAAGCAGCTGATATGTCACCCAGCGGGGGACTTGACTGTGCCATTTTCCACAAGCTAAGCTCTTCTGGAGATCCACCACTCACCATCTCCAACACTTCCATTTTACAAGTCTGCGCTTTTTCTTGCTTTTATACTTTAAATATTCTACCGCATGATTGGCCTGGGAAAACAATAATGACAGTTCGACATTTCCTTGATATAATGCTTGTTTGAGGTATGTTCCTTAATTCTGCATAAGAAAGAAACAACAAAAGCTTCAATTAAACTTTTACATGTGCATTTATGGCGTTCAGCAAACGCTTTTATCTAGAACAACTTAAACTGCAATGTTGCCCAACTTATCCTTAAGCTTGTGCAAACAGGCTACACTCCAAAGATTCCATTAAGCTAAGAAACCACCAGAAATATCTGATAAATGACTGCTATCTCTATACACTAGGTGGAGATGTACGCCTTTAAACAGGGATGGAGAAGAAGTCTAGCCTGTCACTGGCTACAGCACAACAGGACAGTTAGCAGAGTTAGCTAGCTCGCTGGTTTTTAGTCCTAAAATTATGGAGTAAAAAAGGCAAAGGGTTTGTGGAAAATGTATTAGAATATGATGAGATTGTGGTTAAAAACATTACTATTATTATTATTTATTATTTTTTTTATCATTATTATTATGAAGTGCCATCAAATCAGTGAATACTCATATGGATGGTGTTTTACCAGAATATCTTGTCTTCTGTTTAGGTTTTTAAGATTCTTTTACCTTCAACTGTTCAAAGTATTATCGTCTTTTCAAACGAACTGGTTCCTCTCATAATATGTTCAAATAAGCTTCAGTGTTGTCACCTGGGCTTTGAGGGAGAGGTCAGCAGTAGCAAATGGATATTGTTGCCACCAAAATGGTAATTCTGCAGCAGAAGAAAAGGAAAATGTTCTTAGCTTTTGAAGTTATTTTGAAAATTTAAAAACATTATACGATTTTATTCCAAGTTCTTTCGGTTCATGTTCATTGGCCAGTTTCACACAATGTAAAAGGCTGCTAGTCTCTTCAAATGGTGTAAAATAGCTAAAAATTATTATGTTACTAGGAATGTATTACATTTTCAGGCTGACCATTTGTAATATCTTATCACATTAGTGCGAAGAACAGAAAAAGGATCACCATTTATTACATTTACCACTTCGTACAGACTAGGAAAGTCAGTGGTAACTGAAACAGTGTTAAAAGTGGAGGTTCTTCCTGAAAACTCTTCTAGGATTTCGTCTCAAATATGCTTCCCTCAAACCAGGCTGGGCTGATTCCTGAGGGCAGCACAAAAGCACCATAAGAGATTTTTGGTAACGGCTCTCTTGAAAACAAAATTAAGCAAAAATAATCAGTGCATATAATACATTTCCAATAATGTAACTAGGCATTATGTATGGTCAGCCTGAAAATATTATAAATTCTGAATAATGTAAAAAAAAAAAAGTCTCTTGGTAAAAGTATCGTTGCACTATGAATTAAGATATTACATCACATTATTGTGGCAAGTTATTATGTCACTGGGTTTTATTACAACATTGGAATTTAAAGCTATGTTAAAACTACACAGGCTTAAGGCGACTGACATAAACCTACATAAACATTTATAAATGTGTTAGTGTGTGTTGCGCTGGTACGAGTGGATCAGACCCAGCAGTGCTGCTGGAGTTAAACCCCTCAGTATTGCTGCTGGACTGGGAACCAAAAACATCCAGCCAACAGCGTCCTGTGGGCAGCGTCCTGTGGGCAGCGTCCTGTGGGCAGCGTCCTGTGACCACTGATGAAGGACTAGAGGATGACCAGCACAAACTGTGCAGCAGCAGATGAGCTATCGCCTCTGACTTTACATCTACAAGGTGGACCGACAAGGTAGGAGTGTCTAATAGAGTGGACAGTGAGTGGACACAGTGTTTAAAAACTCCAGCAGCACTGCTGTGTCTGATCCACTCGCACCAGCACAACACACACTAACACACCACCACCACGTCAGTGTTACTGCAGTGCTGAGAATGATCCACCACCCAAATAGTACCTGCTCTGTGAGGGTCCATGGGGGTCCTGACCACTGAAGAACAGGGTAAAAGGGGGCTAACAAAGTATCAGAGAAACAGATGGACTACGGTCTGTAACTGTAGAACTACAAAGTGCACCTATATAGTAAGTGGAGCTGATAATATGGACAACGAGCGTAGAAACAAGGAGGTGTTCCTAATAAAATGCTAGGTGAGTGTACACGGAGCTATAATTTTACCTTATAACGTGTCATAAGCCAAATGTCATCTGACATAGACGGTATGGCAACTTGACAGCAAAGCAAATGCAACCTTTATGATCAACAACACCTACAGGAATAAGTGTTTAGAAATGTTTGTGTAGGTCTTTGTTGACATCAAGATCTTGTGTAGGCATCATGTAGCGTTATGAACACTGCCCTACAGTAAAGCCAACTAAAAATATATCATGGTAAATATGTATGTCATACTTCAGCCAAGCTATCGCTACAGCAGTAAGACAGCTACGAAACACTGGAGAAATCTGCTCATATTTAAAGATGGAGAACCTTGTCTCTACCTTTTGAAACATTTGTAGAAGAATAAGGCACCGCTGTGAAGGTCTGTGAGAATCCATGTCCTCCTATTCCGCCTGACTAGCCATGAAATGCACACAGGGAGAGAGAGGATGTTTTTTTTTTCCAGAAAGAATGGAAAGGACTGCGTCAGAGAGAGAGAGAGAGCGAGAGAGAGAGCGCTGCAGGTAACCTGAATGAACCCAGCTCCCCGCCTGTCCCTCCCTCGCTCGCTCTTTACTGTTCCCATGTCACTAAGTGAGAGAAACGTCTGTTTAGCATGTGCTGCATCACATCACCAGCGCTGATAGAGAGGGGGCTGTGAGCTCATTCGGCCTTTGAAGTGATAATGGAATCTGCTGGAGGCCATCTTTGTTTTAGCATTAAAAGGAAAAAAAAAATTCAGGCTCAGATTTCCATGAAAAATAAGGCGTGCTGCTACGCCGTTCATTAGCAGAACCGTGCGGCCTCCCCTCATCAGCTGCTCACAGAAAAAGCAAACATTTGCAGACCAATTTAGGTTTAAAACAAAAGCAATGCTGATCACTAACATAGCTCCCTCTCCTAGCATCCCAGTTAGCTTACCAGATCACTTTCTTTTAAAAATCATCGGGTCTGCAAACAGTGGCGTCTCGGAGGCCACTGGGTGGTTCATTTCTCTCTCGACTCCCCTAATTCGGGTTGACTTTTTCAATAATGGGTGCAAGTTAACTCAATCCAGCGCACAGACAGTGCAATGAATTAGCCTGTCAGTCACGGCGAGGTTCCGCATTCCATGTTAGGGCTTGCAATCTGCTCGGCTGTAACGCAATTAAGCAACAAATGGAAATCAGAGTTGCTCTAAATGCATCTGTCAGAGGGCGATGTAAAGAGATGCAGAGATGACTGGGGGGAGGGAGGTGGAGGACAGGCAGGAAAGGAAAGTAGATTCAGGTAGAAATAGTTCTCTCACAAGCAAGCTGCTTTATCCAAACCTTGCCTAGAACAAGAGGAACCGCAGAGCTGAGAGGTTAAAGAGGAAATCCACCTATTTCGATAAAATTCTGTCTAATTAATTATTCAAGATGTAAATAAAGTCATTCAGGTGTGGTTTGGTGTGAAAAGCTCCGTCTCGAGTCGGAGTTGTTCACAGTGGTGTTGATGGGAACCAGGTGTCTGAAGAGTTTTAACGCCTCTAAAAGCTCCCTCACAGAAAGTTAATACATAAAAATGGTCATAGATGTGTCGTCTGATGCCTGACTCATTGTTTATGATAGTTCGGTAACACTTTACTGTAGGGTACTATTCATAAGGCTACATGACACCTATATAAGGTTGTCATTACAACTGACATAACCCTACATAACTGTTTATAAATGCTTGTTCCAATAAGCGTCATTCGCTATAAAGGTTACATTTGCCAATTTTGATCAAAGTCAGCTAAAGCAGCCTCAGTTGTAATGACAACCTTATATAGGTGTCATGTAGCCTTATGAACAGCACCCTACAGTAAAGTGTTACCGATAGTTCTAAGATGAACATTTGGCCTAAAACGTATATTTTAAAGCACATTCATGGTGGGGGTGTACATGCACGAGGCAAAAGAAAACGTATTTTTTCAAATTTACCACTATTTTTTTATACCAGCATTACATATAAAAACTGAGAAGACAGGCAGATTGCTACTGGTTTCTTTCAGTTGATTGTTAGTGTATTTTAAGACGTCAAAAATTAAGAAACTGATGACATTAACAAAATTACGAAACCCATCGAAGATGAGAATAAAAATGCTAACAGGATCTTAAAGCATAATTCAGTCAAAGATATGATGACAGGTACATAAAATATGAATTCATCAGGATGCTAATGAGGCAAAACTGCTTGGAGACAAAACATTTCGACAAAGGCAATGTGCACCACAGCACTTTTCCCCATCCCAAGCTCCTCTACTGCTCCCTCAAAGTGGTTGTGGGCTGCAGTTCAGTCAGCGCTGTTGAAAATGTTCGAAACCCCTGGTCTAGACAGCTCAACAATCTCCAAGCACTCGTCAGGGACTAGACCATCTGTAGGATTTAATTTTGGCCTCTTTTAGTTTTAAACCTGCTAAATGAAAACCAGCCCAAATACCTTGATTCTGCTCAACATCAGTTAATTTTGCCCCCTTTTTATCTAGACCCCTTTGAGTCTGTAACAGGTACTGAAATACAACAGTCCAAACACCTGAAAATAAAAGTTTATCTTTGTATGGTTCTGGAAAAAACGCGTGACTGGAAAAGAGCCTTCACATTATATGAAAGTTCTTTTGATTTTAAAATGCTCAATAACTCATTTCCAAAGTTGTTCTATTAAGAGGGTCCTTAGGGAAACAATAGTGGTTTCTCTATGGCATCATTCCAAAGGACACTTGTTGGTACCATTGTCCTACTCACCCAGAGTAACCTCAGTCTGCATAGGCATGGAGAGAGCTGGGTGTTTGACCTCGCAGCTGAACAGGGCATCGTTATCCAGCTGGGGGTTGAGGGTCCAGGTGAGTTTTGCCTGAACCAAGACGGAGCCGTCGCTCTGGGGAATGTGTGTGTTGCTGAAGAAGTAGAGCGGGTCGGTGCTCTGCACCCAGCGGGGGAACTCTCGGCTCACCACCGTCTCAGGAATGGTCTCCGTGGCCGGGCTTGGCTCGTAGCGTGGCTGCCTGGCTGTGTAGCTCCGCCTCGGACTCTCTGTGTAGAGGCGTCCTGGCCGTCCGTCTGGCCCCAGCAGAGAGAGGGACTTCTGCAGCTTGGTGTCATCCAGGTCCCTGCTGATGAGGGGTCTGGCCCCGCGAACGCCTGCCAAACTCCCGCCCTCATCACCCACAGTGGGTGAAACGTAAGAAATGACTTCTATCAACTCCCCATCTCGTTTAAAATATACCTGCGAGAGACACAGAGAGGGAAGAGTTAGCAGTGTAGCTACATTCTTATTCTGAATGGCATATCTAAAATAACTTTCATGTTACAGGATTTCAGCGACACAAATCCAATATTGTGTGTAAATATGTAATAGATCTGATTTTTAACCAGTCGTATGCCAGCCAGAAAGGCAAAGCAAAACCCCCATATGACAGCAAAGGACCTGCAAGAAGGTCTGGCTGGCACAGAAGGGCATAGTTCTAATGTACAGTGTCGCTTGTGCACACATGATCTGCATACAAGTGTCAGTGGAAGAAAACCTTGCTTGTGCACATAAGTCAACATCTAAAGTATGCAAAACAACATCTAGATAAGCCAGAGGCATTTTGGAAACCAGTGCTGTGGACCACTAAAATAACTATTTGACCACAGTCACCAAGAGCAGAGGTCGCAAATAGGCGGACCGCAGTCCGAGTCTGGACCTGGACCTATAACCAATAAACTATGGAGAATTATTTAATTTCGATGGGGTGGTTCTTTTTTAATTGGCGTAGCTTTTCTAGCCTTTACAGTAGCTTTAGCGGCCCGGGAGACTCACAGACCAGTCGCATGCGTTGTAAATATCACACGTGACGCTACTCAGCCAGTCAGATCTGTGCATTATAATGAGCACTGAGACTCGAGTAAGTGACGCACACATAGGGGAGGGACGAGGTGAGAAACAGCAGTCGGAGAGGAAAGTGAGTCAGAGGGATGTTATTTCACATTACTTGCTCTAAAAAGTAAAAAACTGACAATAAATGTTGTTGAAATATGACTGAATTGCACTTTATTTGATTTGACATTCAGTTGTTGACGGTATAAGATGATATACCTACTAGGCCACTTTAGTTTACAGTATATGGAACTGAATCATGATACAAGTTAGACAGTATGATGTTCTGGACCTTTACTTGAGGATATTTTCTCTAATTGTACCTTATTGAATTTTAATTAAAGACCCCTGACCAAGAATGTTTGGAGAAGAATAGAACAGCATTTGATGAAAGGAACACCTTGCCAACTGTTAAGGGGGGTGGATCTATTATGCTTAAGGGTATTATTGAGGTTGTGTTTTCTTCTTTTCTCACTTTGTGAGAGATGTCCGTTTCCATTTATGTTTTTTAATTAACAATACACAAAAAATGCTAATATGGGAAGTGGTTCCAAACATTTTTTTTTGGTGCTACATGCACAAATCATGTATAGTATGTGGGCCCTTTCATAGGATGTCACATGAATGACATATGAAAAAATGAAAATGAATGACATAAAAAAAAATAATTTTTTATGAATGCTCTAATAGTGCTCGGAATAAAAACTCTTTACATTAACAATTACAATTACAATAACATTTTTGCTTTGCCCTGTAAAGTTGCCATTTTGTAGATAATATTTTTGGAAAGTGACAATATGGGTCATGCACATACATGAAAGACGAAAGACTGAATGTGAGCAGAAAATCAGAACTGAGCATTAGTAATGTGTAGCTGTGGCAATCTAGCGAAATTACAGCCGTTCTGACTGGCATATCTAAATGCAAAAATCTGGGCCACAGCTAAGCTTCACCCAGCCAGTGCTGTCATTAAGCCACAGCTGAGATATGCCATGCTTTTTTTGTTGTATTGTGTATTCAGATAGAGCCCATCGCTATCACACAGGCTACATTCCATTTAGGTATTAAGTGTCCCGAGTGGTAAATTATTTGACAGGGAATTAATTCCCTACTTCTACACACAACCTCCAGATATTTGTATTAAAGTCAGAATACAGAAACGCTGCCTTTGGCTCTGCTGGTTGCGCAGTATCACTTATGCCCTTCCTTACTTTTATTGTATCATTTCTTTCCCCATTCGTCTCTTACTACACAGAAAAAAAGGAAAGAAATTTCATCCATCTAATCCGCCTGTCCGTTTAGGGACCTATGGACATTTTGAATTCAATTTGCACAAGATCAAAGTGTCATTACACGACACACCACATTTCCCTGGTGCTTTGCCTCTTTCTGCCCTTTCTGTCTTTCTATTTTTCGGCGAACGTATGTGGGGAGGGGGAGGGGATTGTTGGGGCATGCTTTGATTTCCAGGCACCTCCAGGGCCCCTCCACTCGACTGGGTAAATAAGCGTAATGGGAGTAAACAGAGGTGACGTAAGAGCCTGGCCTTCAGAGTAGCATCTAGCTAGCGAGTTCACAAACGGAGAAGGAGAGAGAGAAAAAATGAATAAATGAGTGGAGAAACGTAACAAGTGCTGATGATTCCAGACAGGACTACTTCGGCTTCACATCCCGCTATGCTTTAAGGCAGATATGAAAATGCTGAGCAAACATGGTTGAACTCGATTTTGGATCTAAATGTCTTTGATGAGGGTTCATTATTGATGCCGGGAGCTCACCTGGTCAGTGCTTACCTGGCTGATGTTTCAATAGTAACAGTGACTAAAGTGACATCTGCATTTACAAATAAAGATGGAACAGTATGTGAAATGCGGACAGTAACAGTGAGTTGTAAATCCTCTTTGACTATATATTTCAATAAAAGATCTTAAGGCAAAGACATTTGTTTTACCTTATCAACTTCTTGTAAATACACAAATCAGCCATAACATTCTGACCACCTCCTTGTTTCTATGCTCACTGCCCATTTTATCAGCTCCACTTACTATATAGGTGCACTTTGTAGTTCTACAGTTACAGACTGTAGTCCATCTGTTTCTCTGATACTTTGTTAGCCCCCTTTTACCCTGTTCTTCAGTGCTCAGGACCCCCATGGACCCTCACAGAGCAGGTACTATTTGGGTGGTGGATCATTCTCAGCACTGCAGTAACACTGACGTGGTGGTGGTGTGTTAGTGTGTGTTGTGCTGGTCTGAGTGGATCAGACACAGCAGCGCTGCTGGAGTTTTTAAACACCTCAGTGTCACTGCTGGACTGAGAATAGTCCACCAACCAAAAATATTCAGCCAACAGTGTCCTGTGGGCAGCGTCCTGTGACCACTGATAAAAGACTAGAGGATGACCAACCCAAACTGTGCAGCAGCAGATGAGCTATCGTCTCTGACTTTACATCTACAAGGTGGACTGACAAGGTAGGAGTGTCTAATGGAGTGGACAGTGAGTGGAAACTCCAGCAGCACTGCTGTGTCTGATCCACTCATACCAGCACAACGCACACTAACACACCACCACCACATCAGTGTTACTGCAGGGCTGAGAATGATCCACCACACAAATAGTACCTGCTCTGTGAGGGTCCATGGGGGGTCCTGACCACTGAAGAACAGGGTAAAAGGGGGCAAACAAAGTATCAGAGAAACAGATGGACTACAGTGCATCTAAACTGTTAAGATAACAAAAACTAAAAAAGTTATTTATTTGTACTCTGTTAAAAATGAGAGCTCAGCTCAACTCAAAATGATATAGTAACTGATTTCATGGCTTTTCTTGAGTTGACTCAACTTGAGGACACCAGAGTTCACACAACTCAACCTTCTTAGTTGAGTCAAACGTTCTCTTAATCTTTTACTTCTGTGTCTCAGTTATGGTAAATAAAATTAACTTTTTTTTAATACCCAGCATCCCCACTAGCCAGGACTCTCTCCATCACACAGTCCTGCTAGACATTTTTCCTCTTGGGTACGGACTTACAGATGGCTGTGACATCGCTGGGGCTCAGACTCACAACCTCCTGTTGGGGTGACGGCTTAGTCCACTGCACCACTCAGGAACACATGAAGCAGCTCAGATTTTGTGTCTACAAATGTTCAATAAACTGGAGGAAATATTTGTTGTTTTAAATTTAAAGTATGGCATCGTCTCATGTGGTGCAGCGGTCTAATAATTCATCCCAACATCAGGAGGTTGTGAGTTTGAATCCCAGCAATACCACAGCTGTCCACACCCAGAAGCCCAAGAGGAAAATATGCCAGATGGGACTGTGTGATAGAAGGAGTGCCAGCTAGAGTAAAAAAAAAAAATAAAAATCAGTTTTGAATTCAGTTTTGTTTATCAAACTAAGACGCAGACCTAAAAACAGTACCGGGGGGAACCCAGGGGGAACTCAAGAACAGCCATGCTATCAGTTACTATATCATTTTAAGTTGAGCTGACCTCTTATTTTTAACAGTGTATTTATTCAGCAGTTATAAAACACACTTCTGTCCAGATCAACAGTTTTAAGCAACTGTCTTGGCAGTTTAAGACTTTTGCACAATAATGTACTAAATAAACTAAGACAGAGTAACAGATTAAATCACTACTTTAGTGTTCATAGCCACAGGAATATAAGCAGAGCGAGAGCAGAACCAGCAGACAAACAGGCTCAGACAACAAGGCAAAGGCCATAGATCATAGTAAACATAAGTACGTGTGGTGATAAAGCAGTACACTGCTTACAAAAGTCCTATAATCGCAGACAGATTCAAACAGTAGCAAAGGGCTTTACTATCAACTGTATTAGAACTAATTAGCTATCAATTATTTACATAATTAATTTTGTAATCAGAGCTCAAAAAAGGTAACACTATACAAACCAAACAAAGCTCTTTAAAAGATTTTAAATTACTTTATTAGGAAAAAAAGATAAACTAGAAAGCCTTCAAAAGACTCTAAACACTATGTGGCTCAAAATAAACATAAATGGATATGATCAGCAGACTCTTTAGTAAGAAGAGTAGGAGAACTAAAAGGTTCATATCATGGAAAAACTAATTTTCTAATTTTCTGTAATAAAAGTGACGTAATATATACGCTTTGCTAAAGTTTTGAAACCCACCATTCATTCGCCAGTCCAAACAGTCCATATATGGAAACTAAGCTGCAAAACCAGCTCATTTTGAATTCATTGTGTTTGTCATGGTGCAAAAGCCACAGCAGCTTAATTTTAGAAGGGGTGTTTCAGCCTCAACTGCTTTTTGAGTGAAGCACAAAACAGGACAGCCAATCAGAACAGTTGATCCACATGTGCCAGTTCTTAAGGCTCAGCC